AGAATAGATCACAAAAACCAAATTTAAAAAATTGGTTGATTGACGAGGAAGAAACAAAGAAGGAAAAATAAGTGATTTGATTGATTTTGGGGATTTCATGCCCTTGGAAGCCTCTCCATCTTTTAATTTTTTATTGTTTTTATGGATTCCTATTTGTTAGTAGGTTTATTTCATGTCATTTTTTTCTTCTTTGAATTGGTTTAGTTAATAGAAAAAAAAAAAAAAAAGTAGGGCAATTACAGATTGAGGAGTTAGGGTTTGCAAAAGGCAAAGGGAAAGAAGAAGAAAGAGGAAAGGGAGGAGGAAGGGAAAAAAAGGTTAAAATACTAATTTGGTTCCTCAATTTTTAGATTTATCCCCAAATTGTTCTTAAACTTAAAAAAATATCCAAATTATCCTTCAACTTTAATTTTTGATACCAAAATAGTCTTTTTGTTAATGAAAGTGCCACACAATTCATTATTTTACCACAAAATCAATTTTTTTTTAAAAAAAAATTAATGATGTGTAAAATCAAATAATGATATTTTACTATCGTGACATCAAAGTTGAAGGATCAAATTGGTACATGTAATCAAAGTTCAAGAATTAAGTTGGTATTTGTCTTTGAAGTTCAAGGACAAGGTTGGTAATGATGTGTAAATGGAAAAACGCCATAGTGGCAAAATATGGCTATTTGATTTTATACATCATTAATATTTTTAAAAATAATTAATTTTGTGGCAATGTAATGAACCACGTGGTACTTCTGTCAATGAAAGGATTATTGTGATACTAAAAATTAAAATTTAAGGATAAGTTTAGTATTTTTTATAATTTAAGAATAATTTTAATATAAATTTAAAAGTTGAGGGATCAAATTAATATTTGACAAAAAAAAAAGGAAATTTTAAAATTTTTTTGACAGGTTATTCTTTTTGCCATGTTGTCAATCTTACATGTCATTCTTTTCTCATTGGATGTTGATACAAAGATAATCTTTTTATATCACATTTTTATATAATTTTTACATATCATTAAATGAATGAAAATATTCAATATCACAAGTTTTAAATGAATAAAAAAATTAATTATTTAAATAGTTAATAAAGTTCTATAAAAAAATAATATAAAAAATTATTTTTAAATCATTTTTCTTTCTCATCAAGCAACAAGCCACGTAAGTAAATTTTAAATGGAGATCAAGAGGGTACTAAATTTCCAAACTTATAAGATCAAAATAGAAAATTTTAAATTTAGGGACTAACTTCGGCGTCTGTACAGTAATTGAGGGACGAGGCTTAACGTCGAAATTTTCTTTTTTTTATCCCATTTCAGTTTCTTCCCATGGCTTCTTATTTTTTGTTCCAGATCATCAAGAAACAAAGATTTAACTCAAAACTCACTCTTGCCACCACATCGCCGTCGCCGACTTCGTTCTCCATCACCGACGTCTTCACTGTCCGCCGTCGAACACCCTGTCATTCTCCTGCTTTCTTCACTACTTGTTCTCAATCTGACCGATTCTATCCCTTCTAGCCTAGCTCTTCAATTTGCTTCTCCGATTTGTCTGATGATTTTCTTCTTCGATTTGTCTGCGATTGCTGTCATGTTTCTCTCTTTCCTTCGTTGATTAACACCGAACCGACAAAATTGGTGGCTGAACTGAATAACTGAAAGCAATTTCAGTCTAGAATTTTTTCGCTAACCCCGTATCCGGAAGTTATATGGTAACCGAGTGATTCAGAGTAAACCGGGTGGGACCTCCATTCACGAGAAAAGGAACCAAAACTCCTTCCTTTCGAGGCAAAAAAACTACTTTTAACCACTCACTTTAAAAATTTTAATTTTTTATTTTATAATATAATATTTTAATCTTTTATTTTATTAAATTTATAAAGTTTAATTCTCATATATTAAAATAAAAAAATAACTTATTTTATATTAATTTTGTTAATAAAAAGTAAGTTTTTATCAATTAATAATCAATTAATAAAATAAATAAAGCATTATAAAATTAATTATGTTAACTTTATTAATTAAAAAGTTTTTATCAATTAATAATCAATTAATAAAATAAATAAAGCATTATAAAATTAATTATGTTAACTTTATTAATTAAAAAATTTTTATCAATTAATAATCAATTAAAAAAATTAATAATTTATTAACAGAACTAATAAAATGTTACAATACGAGTATTATTTTTTTAATTTTAATAAATAAAAAATTAAAAATATCATAATATAAAATAATAACTTAAAATCTATAAAATTAATGAAATAAAATTTAAAAACATTATAATATAAAATAAAAAATTAAAATTTTCAAACTTAATAAAATAATAAATTAAAAGTAAATTTTTGCGTCCTTTCGGACCCATAAATTCGTTGGTATTTTAATTTGATTTTCGCTGTGCCATTTAAGAAAGGTCGACTGCACAAAATCGGCACCTCGGGTTCGGTTCTAACCAAACCAGTCTGGGACCCACCGAATGCTCACCATCCATATTATAGACGCACTCCACTGCCTCCCGTCTCAGTTCTCATTTCGGGGTACCACTAACAAGCAAATCCCGAGCTCATCTCCTGAAAAACACCAGAAAATTCAAGTTTTACATCAATGGCCACCAACGGAAAAGAGCAGCGAACTCGAGCCGAAAGGCACCAGGAGGTCGGCCACAAGGGCCTTCAGTTGGGAAAAGAATCCCAACACCTTCTTGAGAGCGATGCTCTATACCAGGTATGGTGTGTCATAATCAGGCCTCAAATTCACGACTGAAGATATGTTTGATAATTATTTAATTTTGAGTTTAATTTTTCTTTGATAATTGTGCAGTATATACTTGAAATCAGTGTGTACCCCAGAGAGCCTGAACCCATGAAGGAGCTCAGAGTGCTCACTGCTAAACATCCGAGGTGAGTTTTATCTAAAGCTTAACGCCCCTATTCAGGCTCGATATGAATATTAGGTTATGCCTGAGATCCATGTTATTTGCGAGTCTGCTGAATTTCTCTCAATTATTGTGGGAATTTTTCCACTGAGTACCAAATTTATATGTTGATTCGATCACCTTTTTTTTATTTGCACCAAATGATATGAAAACAGGAACCTCATGGCCACGTCCGCCGACGAGGGTCAATTCCTAAACATGCTCCTCAAGCTCATCAATGCCAAGAACACCATGGAAATTGGTGTGTATACTGGCTACTCTCTTTTAGCCACGGCTCTAGCTCTTCCTGATGATGGAAAGGTCCGTAAAATTCTCAAAAGAAAAAAACCCATTTCATCCCGTCTATCCCTTTGTCATGACAGAGGAAAATAAAAAAATTTCTGGTTTTTGATTGTATCAGATCTTAGCTATGGACATCAACAGAGAAAACTACGAGCTGGGTCTGCCGATTATCCAGAAAGCAGGCCTTGCCCACAAGATTGAATTCAGAGAGGGCCCTGCTTTACCCATTCTCGACGAATTAATGCAAGATGTAAATTCCACTAAGTTCCATGAACCTCGTTGTTTTCCAAACAACAAAGTGTTTTGCACTTTGAAATACACTAGACTGCAAAACCCATGCATCAATCAGGCCAGAGATCTTGGTTGCGTTGCCTACCTACCATCTTATTGCTAACTATTGTCTTGTAGAGCAAACTGCAAAACTGCCTTCTCTTTCTTAAAATGTTTTGTTTGGTAGCAAAGAAAATTTGGGTAGTGATTGCGTGTGGTGATTTGCAGGAAAAAAATTATGGATCTTATGATTTCATCTTCGTGGATGCTGATAAGGACAGCTACCTAAACTATCATAAAAGGCTGATCGAGCTGGTGAAGGTCGGTGGAGTGATCGGCTACGACAACACTCTATGGAAGGGCTCTATGGTCGCTCCACCTGACGCTCCTTTCGAGAAGTATGTTTGGGCTTATAAGGACTTCGTTATGGAGCTCAACAAGGCTCTTGCTGTGGATCCCAGGATCGAGATCTGCATGCTTCCCATCGGTGATGGGATCACACTCTGCCGTCGGATCAAGTGAACAAGCAGCCGGTGCTGATCGCGTGAAAATAATTTTTTACTTTTATTGCAAAAGTTTTATGTTTGTATGTGGTTTAAATTTAAAACCAGTAAAAATCAACTTGTTAAAAATGCTCAATTGTCTTTCTCCTTCTTTAAAAAAAAATACGGTACATAAATAAATAAATCGTAAAAACTCTTAAAATTTGAAAATAGACTAATTGTTTCGGTTGTGTTTGGTTTAGCCACTTGGAATGTAGCCTGTAACTGCTTAGAGACTAATAAGGTGTTTGGAAAAGGCAAAAAGGCTAAAGTAAATAAATAGT